GAATGCGGGGCATGAACGTTTGTTTTTTTTAAATCAACAGTTTGCATTATGCAATTAAAAATCCTAACCAATAAAGTAGGGAATAGCTATCCAACTGTTGTTTTAGTTGTATGTTACTTCATATTATAGTTATATCAATGTAAATCATTGTTTTCCCTTGTGTTTCTTATTCTTTCCCTGCCATGTCGTAAAATGTGGTGAACCCATCGCTATATTTGCTCCAAAGCAAATATTGGCCTTTCTAGTTACAGATAAAGATAACAACGCTTAAAGCTAAAGAGCTGTGTATTTTACTTCAGGTCAGCGCCTTGCACCCAAGCGTAAGGGTTCGCGAAACTTACGGCAGGTTTTTCGTCATTCTGCCGGTGGAACGTTCTATCGCAAAAGGGGTGCCCTAATTCCGACCTAGTATTTAACAAAGGTCAATCTGAGGGGAGGGCTTAGTATTTAAAATACACAAATTATGACTAAAACAATCTACAACTATTTTTCTGTCCCAAACAAGTCTTCTTTTTACCATTACGCGACTGGCTCCAAAGCGGCTGTTTCAAAATCAAAGCTGCGTTTTTTGACACGCTCGTCAACCCCCGAACAAGCGTCGAATTCACACAGATTTTTCACTCGTCTGTTATCGGAGCGTCGGAACTGGAACAAACTTTGTGAGATTACCGATATCAACACAGAAACTTTGTCCATTCTTGTGGTTATTGATAGGCACGTGCTCCCATGCATAACGCCGCGACAAGGATTTTTCAAACTAGTACGGAATTAGGTGTAGGTCGGAATTAGGACACCCCCCGTTACCTATTAACGTATAAATAGGGAGAAAAATTTCCCAGGAGAGTTTGGTCACCTTTGGGCTTGATTTGCCCGCGCAAGAGGAAATGTTACCCTTACCGCGGTCTCACTCTCCTGGGTAATTATTCACCCTTTATTGTAAAATTCTACTATCCATAGCCCCTATTAAAGGACCGGGCATGATGTAGGCTAATTGCATTCAATCAGAATGTACACGGCATAGATTCGTGATGCGTATGACGCATTCGGAAAATTTCATTTCCTTGTTCAAAATTTCAAATTATGAGACGAGATTGTTGTCATTTTGATCATTACCATGGGGCATGGGGGATTCAGGACTGGTGCAGACGATTATTTATGAACATGAAGCTAACAAAGTAGCTTATAGGGGCTAATCAAACACAAAATGTGGAAAACAAAAACAAAGTACGTAATTTCTATGTGATGTAATGCGCAGCACGGAGGAAAACCGATCGTATCATCATGTTACACGAACTCATAACACAAACGGAATAACATAAACTCCAGAACCAAACCAACGTCAAGTCCATCTGAACTCGCAACAACAACGGCTCACCGCATTATAATTAATGGTGTAGGCAATCAACTAAGACATAATCAATCTTTAACATGTATAAGGTGCATATCTAGCATCTACGTTCTAGATGGCACAGGTAGGATTATATTGAGGTAAGAGGATCCTGCCCTTACATGGATTGATTACCTTAAGTAAACCAGTGAGGGAGGAATAAGCTTGGCGTTGCCATGGTGATGGAGATAATGGCTTTATGATTGATGCTGAGGTCGAGCCAGAGTGGGGAAATTGTGCACCACATTGGGCGCCGCGCGAAGGTTTATACAATGACTTATCAGTATATAATGCACTATGTCATAGTTTTGTTTTGCTGGTGATCCGGTCTTGGCTAGCTGGCGCTGTCGCGTGGGTGGGCGTCATTTTTAATCAGAAATATCGACGGTTGGCGCACAACGCCTGCGCAAATGATTACCCAAAATGGAGGCCCGCTGTGCTGCATGTGGCTTTATTTGAGCGTATTTTGTTAACACTTGGCTTAACCAAAGCTGGGACCAGCCGGACTCGGTGCCCAACCGTACCGCGGACAGCTGTTACAGGTGTACAGAGCGGACTTACGTGTAGCCAGCGCCATCATCATCATCATCATGCCTCTGTCGTCATGGCTTCCGTGGACGGGCGGCGAGCCGCAGTTTCCCGGGCAGAAGCCGGAGAGCATGGTGGTGGCAGACTGCCTCATGACCGAGCTGGAGTGGCAGCTGAGGGAGGCTGACAGGGCGGCGAGAGACAGAGAGGTAAGGCGGAGATACTGGGGATCATAATTCATAACACTACTTTCCAGGCAGAGGTTGGTAGGGAAGATTGTGACCTTTCTAATATGCCCCGTTTTATTCTGTCGCTACCCCATCAACAAGGAAACACGGGCATATCAGTAAGGTCACTAGCTTCCCCATCAACCTCTGATTAAAAGTATCATAACACGGTGGTTTTCATTCTATTACCTGCTATCGTATATCAACAACCTTGATTGTGGGGTTTTAGTGGTATTAAAAGCGTTCCTTATTGTTTATCTCTTGCAACAGATGGTGGTGAAATATTATACGTATGTACACGTACTACATGAAGTACGAAACGCCAGCCTCACACAATAAATTGACATGGAGAGCCTTGTTATTATTTCGATCCTTCAGCCCACGTAACATACCAAGGTGTCAAAAACAAATTAGTTTTCCTGGCAGTGCGACGAGCTGGAAAGGTCATTTGTAATTTTGTTTGCGGGTTTGAGAGCATGGGAAACAACAGCTAGGTAGACGTTAAGTACACATATCTTTACCACTAGGAATTAAAGAAGTGATTTATTTACGCAAGGATATTAGCGCTGTGGTGTTTGTATAACGTCACCAGAAGTGCGATAAGCTTGGACTTACGTCGCAATTATTTTTTCTGATGTCATAATGGCAGTGGGAATGGTGACGACACCCACGCATATTCTTGCATAATGCAAAAAGGAAGAAAGAGAGATAGTGTCGATGATTTTCTCAACACAATTCGACGCCCTTGATCAATCTGCAACAAGATGTCTATTCGCTGTACAACAACAAAAGAAATACGAAATGACATACCTTACAAAATGTTACCTTACCTGTATCATCTTTTTCATACCATCTTAAGATTAGAAAAAATAAATAAATATTGATGATGTTGGGTAGACATTTTCCTGTTCCAAGAAAAATCCAGACCATATGTCCACTGTCAATGAACTTGCTACGTGCGATTGTATTTTTTTTAGAAATCCGCAAATGTTTTGCTAGCATCGTCTGTGATCACAGAAAAACAATCCGGTTAGACACAAAAGACCGTTAATTGCCTGATCATGCTGTCTACACAATGCACGAATCACCACGGTTCCCGAGTGATCTAGAAAGAAGGCGACACCAAAGGAAAACTAATCAGGCGAAATGCTTTAATGATAGCCAGTTGGCTTGTACGACGGAGCTTTTGAGCACGGCTTTACATGTATAATGCATACACACGAGTCTTTGGTACACCGATGATGAAGAGGCTTTAGTACATGTACGTACTGAGGGCTGGTCCAAAAATGCTCACCTGTGGTGCATGTTAAGGAAACTGTGACAGCCCTGCGACAATGTTGTTAGCATTCGTCTCACAGCATGTTATTCTCACTTCAAAAGCAATTAGATATTTTGATACTGCATTTTGATACATATTCTATCAGGCGTAACTTTTTTAATGGAGACCCAGGAAATAACAAGGTTTGAAAGAGATGTCATTTAAAGGACACGGGTGGAACGTTGCGGCAATTTGATGTTTTATATGTATATATTCGTATTGCGCAGTGACATTTGTATCCTCTGCGACAAACGAATAGTGTCGACGATCAAGCCGGGAATACAGATTGAATCTATCAAGTCGTCAAAGCCGATAATCTTGCACAGTTTTGGATAGTTATTCACTTACAACCCTGGCACAGTACGTCGACACATAACTAGAGAGCTGACATTTATTTAACGTTCAGCATATAGTTGACTGATATTTATTACTTCATGTCCAAGATAGTAATAAATTTATCGAATGAAGTTACATGGAAAAGGATCGACAACATAGCAAGGTTTACATTAAGATATATGCAGTACTGAGCCGTGGCGAGTCTTCAATCGGGCTCATTTGCTGATATATGCCTTTCAATAAGTCTATTAGCTAATGCACCCAGATGACACCACGGCTATACTGTATTCTGCGTCAGATATTATGGTTTTGTGGTCGTCTCCGCTAGACATGTATCCACCCAATTTTACCCCCGTGCACGTCCGTAGGAAGAAGAGCGGCGGCGGCAGACGAAGGTGGACTACAGCTGGTTGGCGTGCACGTCCGCCCGCAGCCGCCCGCGGTACCAGATGTCCCAGATGGACCGGTTAGAGCTGGAGACCATGTGCTCCCAGGTCCGGCCGGAGGAGAGCGGCGACGTCATCGTCCGCTTCCGGGACCGCCTGTACCCGGAGATGCCGCCGCAAGAGATTCCTCTGGTAAGGTTTATAACAGTCTTGTCGTTTAAAGACATTTAATGCAATTGCAGGGCGGCAAAGCAACAACAAAAAATTATGGACGAGAAAATCTGTCTGATATTGACATTTACTGCCCTAGCACATTTTCGTCATATTTTCATGAGAAGCGTTTGAAATAGCCCCCAAACATTGTACGAACGTCGTACGATCGATCGCAAACTCTTGGCTTAGTGAAGTTGGGCAGGCAGTATCCATTTGGCAGACAGTTACCATTTGCCAAATGCCTCAGAAAATCAGCCAAAAATAAGTCAATGCCTAAACCTCTGATTGGAGAGTACACAACGCACACATAAGGTAGACACACTGATGTACTGGTATCATGAACATGAACGTGTATATCTTGTCTCTCCGACCCAGGTACTGCGCGCAGTAATCCGGCAGGTGTTCCAGCGGCGTAACCCCGCCCCGGACAGCTGGGCGCGCCGGCTGCGGAGTCAGAGCATGATCCTGTGGACCACCCAGTCCTCGGCCCGGGTCCACCCGTCATCCAGGGACTCTGGCGGCGAGGAGACCGGCATCGAGATGGACGCTAGGCGGGTCTACTCCCTCCCCGACTTCACGGCCAAGTCTGTGGCACAGCTACCTGTTTAAAACACCCGAGGGGACGTTGGACATGTCCAAACAAGCTTAAGGAACTCGGAGAAAGTGAGGATGACCTCCAAAACACGCACGATGCGGAAGACAATCATTCCTTTAAAGTATCGATTCGATGCTCCCATGATGTGTTCGCGTTAGTCTCCACCAGACTTTTTTTACAGACTGAATAAATAGTAGAAATTGGCCTAAAAAGGGATATAATTGGCCAGGGTATGTAGCATGTAGCCGGCCATGGAAAGACCAGTTTGCCTCCGTGCAGGCCGATTTCTGCTAGCCTGCAAAGGAGTTTGGTGGAGACTATGTTAACGTGAGGGTTAACTTAACCACCCTTTAATGAATACAAACGACTCTTCATTGTCTGAATGTCGTCATGACTGCATATTTGGTCAACCTGGTGCCTTGGACTCGTGCTGCAGTTATTTTTGCATTGGCATGAAATTCAAATGTGTTCATATTGCACATGTGTTCAATGTGTGGTCTGACAGTTGGATTTTCTGAAATCATTTTGTAAGAGGTACCTGAAGTTGCCAATTGAGCTCAAGTGCAAGTCAGTAGGGAGGGGGTATTTTGTGCAACAAGGACTGGGTTTATTTATTTATTGATTTGAAGAAAAATCGGGGTTTTCAGAGAGGGGTTACGTTAAAAAAACGGTCCGATTTTCCTCCCAGCATCTACTTGGATATTGAAATGTTTAACAATGTTCGAGTGCGTTATTGATATACATTTGTATGTTTGGCATCATGATACATAACGTTAAATGATATCTTCATAATGAATAAGGGCACATTGACACCTGCAGCAGCAAGAAGTATTTGAGCAAAAGTACCTTTTATAGTATTAATGTCTACTGATATGATAATGAGTTAAACAATATGTGTCATCCTACATGGCCATAGTCCCGATGAAAGGGACAGAACTGTTGTATAGTACTCTTTTCATCAATCATGAAAATGTTTCAAGGAACATGAAGAAAAGGGCCACATTTAAGGGCCTGAAACATTATTTATACAGTATAATGATTCCTGCGTGGTGAAAGTTGTTCGTTTTTGTACGAGATCATGAAACTCTGTGAGAATGTATGTTGGTACTCTTGGAAATGACATTGTAGACTGTAGTTGTGTAAATACCTAGTAATACCTTGTTGATATTGACAGCTTCTCTTGATGTGTTATAAGCTTCCGACCTTAAAATGGGCATCTAATGAATTCGAAGGTACCAGAAGCTCCATTTAGTCAGGCTACGTATCTGGTAGCGTTGTCACATATCGTTATGTGCCATGTATGGTACAAATGTACTAATATGCTGTCGGGTTCGCACGCAGGTGCTAGGAACTATCGCCCAGTACATACAGAACATAATATGTCACAAAGTGTTTAGTGTAACATATAGTAATTCATAAGGAATCAATGATATTTGATAAATCTGTGCTATGTTCTTTCAACTTGATTAAGAACAAGTTTTGAACAAAACTCTCAGATTATGGCCTGTTATGTTTTCGTTACTAATGGCTGCAATATACCTTATTGATGTTGATTACATCAATGTTTCACTTAACGGCATAGTCATTCGTACTAGTGTTGCTGGACGTTTTAGTGGCTTAAAAGGGTCACGTCTAAAGCTTCAAGTCGTTACTGCTGTATTCATGTGAGACGGGAAATCTCAATGCAAGGTAGTAACAATTTGAACGGAAGAAAAGATCGGAGTCATAGCAAAAGTCAAACGGTCAAGTGACCTGCAGATAGTATGCTGGTTATCATGGTTAACCAAAAGTGCCAGCTTAACCCCCATTCATTAATTGTTCGAAGTCCGTCTCATCAATACACTGTAGAGGTGAGTCAACAAAGTTGGGAACTTTCGGCCATGGAAGTAAACACTGACTGCTTTGTCATTTACATTCCTTTTTAGGCTGATTTCTAATATTTATTCAGCCTGCAGCCTGGTTGAGACTAGTACGGACGGTGTTACCCAGCCGGGGCCACTTCTAAAGATAACGCATTGGGAATATTTTTCAGAAAACGCTTTATTTCTTTGGAAGGCGGGTTTCTATACTTTCTATACATCAAACGAAAGTACGGTGGAGAATACAAATCCCGTTTCATACACACATATCTGTTAGCCCTAGGCGTGTGAAGTTGTGCAATACCCCATGCTGCGAATGGTTTCGTCCGGACTGGAGGACGATGACCTCTGCGTACTCTCGTTCCCAGAGTAGGTCGAATCTGTTTAGTCATACTCTGCAGGAACGACTTGCACGTACGCAAAGTGCAATAAACCAGCGGCTATAAGAGGAATCTGCGCTTGCTGTCGGACGCACATCCTTGCCAGGGGAACGCAAGGATGGCTACGGCAGGAAGACGAGCGCTGGCCGGCTTCTGGCGAAGCGTCAGCTCGGCGAAGCGATGTCGAACAGAACTGCGCCCCTCCCCCTTCCTCCTGCAATGCAGAGGACTTTGCACTGCAACCGGAGAAACAAGACAAGACAGCTCGAGTCTGGTGTTCCGCCAACTGTTTGACCAGACCAGCTTCACCTACACGTACGTCCTGGGGGACCGCGAGTCGGGAGAGTGCGTCCTGATCGACCCTGTGATCGAGATGGTGGATCGGGACACCCGGGTCATCTCGGAGCTCGGCCTCAGGCTGACCTACGCACTGAACACACACGTGCACGCCGACCATGTCACAGGGACGGGGGAACTGAAGAAGAGGGCGGGAGCGAAGAGCGTGATCGCCCGGGTGAGCAAGGCGGTGGCGGACGTGCACGTGGACGAGGGGGACACGGTCAAGTTCGGCCGGTTCGAGCTGGAGGTCCGCAGCACGCCGGGACACACGGACGGCTGCCTCACGTTCGTGCTGAGGGACCACGGCAAGGCCTTCACGGGAGACGCCCTGCTCATCCGCGGGTGCGGCCGCACGGACTTCCAGCAGGGCGACCCCGGCCGCCTGTACGACTCCGTTCACGGCAAGATCCTGTCCCTCGCCGACGACACG